TGGCAACAATTGTGAGGTTGGCCCATGATCGGGCAGTGTTTTGTTCTGTTGTGCATAGGGTCGCTATGAGTCGATACCAACTCAATGGCACCTAACAACAACAACAATGCTATGAGCTACTTGAATACTACTATTGTTATTGTTATGTGCCGTGGCCTCGGTTCCAACACATAGCGACCCTGTACAGGGTTTCCAAGGCTGTAAATCTTTACAGGAGCAGAAAGCCTCATCTTTTTCCCACGGAACAGCTGGTAGTTTCGAACTGCTGACAGAACTTTTTTATCTGTTTTTGAATGCTTGGAAATGAAGAGCAGATGGAAAATGAAAATAGAAATCTTGACTAACATGGGGAATGAAGGGGAAATGAAAAGCAGGAGAGTAATGTCCTGAACAATGAGGTCTGAGGAAGCGGGAAGCACTTGGTGGAATAGCACCCAGGCTTAGACTAAAGGGGCCCCCACCAGCTCCAACAGTGCCCCTAGCCACACACCCTGGCAGAGCCTCCTCTCAGACCCACACTCAGCCTCTTCTGAGCTCATTACTCAGCTTCAGGCACCAAAAAGCCCCAGTGGTGTTATTTCTTCCCCCTCAATGTTCCCCTGCATGTGACCCCAGCCCCTGATCCTCCACTTAAACTCACCCCTCTACACCACCACCTAGCCCTCATTCTTTGGTCGCATCTGCATCATTCCAGTGACCCCCATACCTCAGAGTCCTGACTCCCTCAGGAATCCTGTCTGCTCCAGCTTCAACACCCCAGACCCTGGACCTCCTTTTCTGGACCCCACCTGGGTCCTTGCAAAAAAAGGCACCAACCATCCCTCCCACAGCACTCTACTCAGCTAACTTCACTAATTCATTGCAGTGGCCCCACAGAACGCAGACACCATACTTGGAGTTACGGGCTTTACTAGGAAAGTTAACACTACAGTAAAAAGTCAGAACGGCTCAGGGCACAGTCCCAGTCAGACAGCCTCTCAGCGAGGCCATCAGCCAGGCCTCTCCCTGGTCCCTGGTCTCAGCCATGTTTCTCTTGGTCTCTATCCTGTCCCAGCAATGTTCCAGCAAAGCTCTTTTAGGGCTGCTGAGAAATGCCCCAAAGACTCCATTCCTCTAAAAGACTCAGCCCAAAGGCATTTGACTCTAGTTTTGTGGGTCAGCAAATCTAGCTTCTCAATTAGTGCCTTGCGTCACCCTACTCCACAAGGAAGTCTCCTGGCCATAGGTTCTCAGTTTTGCGTGTTCCCTGAGCTGGGAACCTTGCTTCTGATGCTCTGTTCTTGGTTTTGCTGCTGCTGTTTCTCTCCCACTTCTCCAGTGTTAGCTTTCTGCCCCTGGTTCAAGGCAGTTCAATGCACAGGGATCTTACTGTCCAAAGGATGTGCACCACTTCTGGCTTTTCTTCCTTGATGGTGTGTGATCACCCACCTCTGCTTCTGAGATGGTTCTTTGTATACCCAGCTGGTGACAAAATTGACCAATCACAATTAGCCCTGTTAAGAATCTCTTACAACTGAAGCATATAATCCATCAGCATTTCTCCCACCGTTTCTTACCCACCATGGTGGGAGTTCAAAAAGATTATGGCAAGAAGAGACAGTAAATTGTGAGCATCACAACCCTAAGAAGCCTTGGTAGCGTGTTGGATTATGAGCTGGGCTATTAACCAAAAGGTCAGTAGTTTAAATCTACCAGTTGCTCTGAGGGAGCAAGATGAGACTTTCTGCACCCATAAAGATTTACAGCCTCGGAAACCCTATCCAGGGTCATTGGTGGCAAACAACCCAACACATAGAAGCACAAGTCCTCATGAGGTGCTGACTTCCTGAGGATTCCATAGCTGCTGCTTGCAGACACCCTACCCAGGTGGGGCTAAAATGGTAAGATAAGCAATTTTACCTGTGGGATTAAACCCACTGCTGTAAAATGAATGGACTCATAAGGACCCTGGCAGGACACAGAACTGCTCCATAGGATTTCCGAGGCTGCGTTCTTTTTACAGAAGCACATGGCCTGATCTTTCTCCCATGGAGTGGTTGGTGGGTTTGAACTGCTAATCTTTCAGTTAGTAGACTAGTGCTTAAACCCACTGTACCAACAGGGCTCCTGTCAGATTAGCAAAGACCAAGAGGTCGGAAACCATTCGTTGCTGAGAGCGGGTGCTGTAAATCTGTATACTCCCTTTGTAGGGATAACCGATATTTTTATTAATCTTTGAATTGATTCCCTGGAAGCCTACCCTGAGACAAACACTGGAGGGCATGTGGGGCATCTAGGAGGGAGCCCAGGAAGCCAGTACGGATGTTAGGGAGGGATGGAGCCCTGCAGCGTGGTGCCAGAGAGCAGGTAACATTGTGGGCAACTGGGGCTTGGTTCTAATGGGGGCTCAGAGCATAGGGCACCCACCTCCACCTGGTCCTACTCAGAACTCTTGACAGTCATCGGTGAAGGGTTGCTCTGGGGAGTCTTGAGTTGAAATTGCTTAAGCAAGCAGCCATTGGTGGGAACTATGAATGCTGAGCTTCAGCCAGGGCACCAACAGCATCAGCTACACTCTCTACATCCCCCTCGATCCCCGAACCCAGCAATGCTTTTGTAGAAACTCACACCACAGACACTCCAGCCGTATGAACAAACAGAAGTCTAGACAAGGATATTTTTTCCAAAACTGCTTTGTCAACAAAAGAAAAATAAACTGTTTTAAAAAGAAGATAAAGTGATTCACACTGCTGGACGTGGAGGGGCAGTTAAGCTTCAGCTGAGGCCAGATCCAGCAGCCTGAGTATCACGAGGAGCCCAGCTCTCACCCATCTCTGAACTACTTCCTGCCACGTTTGCTTGTTGGGATTGCTCCCACCTGTGGTCACAGGGCCAGGCTGCAGCCTCTCCACCAAGATTAGAGGATGCAGATGGTAACTGTCCTTGTCACCCTAGACAAGGTCGCACACCCACCCCAATACTATTAGAGGCTGTGACAGTGGGGGTGGGGGTGACTCCCTTGAGGCTGGGGCTAGTGTGGGAAGTAGACTTGGGGGCCAGCTCATTAGCCCCTAGTCACCACTGGTAGCAACAGCTCACTAACCCCCTAGTTACCAATCAGTGAGGTGTCCGTGGACTTGGTCATGGCCTTCCTTCCAAAATGTAAGTGCCAAAAACAAGAGTTAGGAACTGTTTACCAAAACAGCCTAGGGAAACCCACATGGACACCTCCACCTCAGTGCTGTGTGTGTTGATGTGGGTGGGGGCTCAATCATGAGACCCCAGTGTTTCCCCCTGGTGGGGGTACATCACTTGGGGAAACTGTGGTCCCAGTGTATGACAGACACAGATGGGGGAGTCAAATTCTTGTTAAAGTCCCAGAAGTAGAGCTGGGCCTGGCTGTCTCCTGCACCTCCTGGGGCCAAGACGGGAGCCTGGTGTCCTGGAAGATTGCTCCTTATACAACGAATTTGTACAACAGGCATCTTGAGAAGGTCTGTGTAAACAATTCAAACAACAACAAAGAGCAGATTCCACAAAGCAGATTCACCAATTTGTCAAAATATTCATGCTGGCTAGGGGTGGTCAGGGCTAAAGAGACGTGAGCAAGTAAAAAAAGTCATTTTAATTTTTATTAAATATACTCTCTTGACACAAATCTTAAAATATATAAACATTATATATAAACAAAGTGTCTTCATAGCGTCAAAGTAGAACTCCAAACCAGGATGAGTGGGGGGGGCAGGGGGGGCTTGACCAAGACCCCAGAGACATCATGGGGCTAGCAGGACTAGGGAGCTGTCCCTTTTCTCCTGCTCCACTGTGAATGGAGAAAGGGAGCTCCTATACCTTGGTGCTCTTGAGCTTTGGGCACCCCACAAGTCTCCATTGGGTCCTGCCTCCCAGGCACTGGGCAAGGTTTGGAGGGGGTAAGGCTGGACCCTCACAGCCATCCCAGACTGTTTAGGTCCCTGAGGACTCATCATCCGGGACTCATCTGAGGAATGACTGTCTTAAAGAGTGCCAGGACAAGGACTTTCACACCCGAAGGTCAGTCTGAGAGCAGAGCCCTGAGGACAGGTGATGGAAACATGAGTCATACTCGGTGACAAGACACCAACTCAGATGCATTCACACCACAGGCTGCTGTTCCCACACAAAACCAACTCTCACCTTCACATCTGTCAAAGTTAAAAAACAAAACCAAATCAGAACCCCAATTGTCATTAGTAAGCAGGTGTTGCCTGAGGGTACCTGGACTCCCCCACTTTCAACCCCAAAATACAATCCTTCGTTGGGGGCGGGGATTAGGGTGGGGGTGGGTGGACGGACATGGATGGATGCCCCGGGCCGTGGGGCTGGAGGGTATAAGCTGGGCTGATCTTATTTCCTGCAAATGCCAAGTGGAGCTGAGACCCAAATGGCTTCAGCTTTGTGTACAGAGTCACAAGATGGGTGGGCAGTAGAAGGGATGACACACACACACATACATACTCTTAGGGGTCTTCAGCCACCACACTGTGGAATCAGGGATCAGGCAGGGTGGCCCAAAGAGACACAGGCACTGGGGGCCAGGAGTCACTGGTGCATGGAAATTGTGGAGCAGGGATGGGGTGGAGCTGGGTGGGGTGAGAGGCTGCAGCAGGCAAAGCTGGTAGGGGAAGGCCCCCTCTAGGATAGTGTCCTTTCAGGAAAAGTCCCATCATTGGAGGTCAGGCCTCCCTACACTCACTGCCGCCACATCTGTCCCCATGGCCAGAAGTGGGTGGCAGGCTCTGGCTCAAGAGCTTAGAGGGGTCATTGGCAACGTCTTTGCCAAGGGCCCCATGGGAACATTCAGGAACAGTGGACCCCGCCTCCCTCCCCCACTGCACGTCAGGGCTGACAGGTTGGTCTGAGAGGCCTCAGGAAACAAGGGGCCACAGCCCCTGCGCCCTGAGGCGCCACCTTAACCCTGTAGGCGCTCCAGCAGGATCTGCATAAGGTCGAAGGTGGTGAAGCTGATGCCCACGGCGATAGGACCCTTGAGCCAGTTCATGCTTAGGCCCTTGTAGAGGCCACGCACAGCGCCCTCCTCACGCACAATGGTCCACAGCGTGCGCACGATGGAAGTGCGTGGGTAGCCCGTGACACCCGCCGTCTGCATGCGCCGTCGTACCACGTCCAGCGGGTATGATGATGATTGTCCGATGATGCCGGCGCAGGCCCCGAAAATCATGCGTTCAAAGGGGTAGGGCTGCCGATGGCCGCTGTACTCGGACAGAGGGGGCGGGAGTAGCGGAGTGAGGGTGAGGCACAGCCAACAACTCACACAGAGTGTACACGCACACTCACAGACCCTGACCCTATGCACCCCCCATACATACACCCCATGCCTACGTGTGCTTAAGCCCTTCCCCCCAGCAATTCCTTTTAAAACAAATTTTAAGTAAAGAGACCCCTGTGGGCATGGAGAAAGAAGCTGGCACCAGAGGATCAACAGTGATTCTTAAGTTCAGCTACAAAGTGTGAACCCTAACGTGAACTATGAACTTTAGCTAATAATGTGGTCAAGTGCAGTCAGATCAGTTCCGAATCACAGTGACACTGTACAAGGTTCCTGAGGCTGTAAATCTTAGTGGAAGCAGAAAGTCTTCTTTCTCCCTTGGGGCAGCTGGTGGACTCAAAGCCACTGCTTATCTTAGAGTCACACCAGGACTCCTACCTAATAATAGTATATCAAATAGTATGTAGATATTTGGCTCGTCAAACTTAGCAATGCGTCACACCAATTCTAGATGTTAATGACAGGAGAAACGTTTACAGGGGGAGAGGGCATATAGGAACTCTGGACTTGCTGAACAACTTGTTGGTAAACTTAAAACAACTCCAAAAGATAGGCTATTAAAATTTTTTTTCAGCTATAAATTTAGAATTAAGAATTACGATCAAGAGAACAAACAAGATGGCGGATTGGATGGAAGTGCAGTGAAGAGCTCCGCCAGCAATAACACAGAATATAGGACCAAGCAGGTCAGGGGATGGTCCCAGAACTCTGAACCACATATAACGGAATATTTAGAAGGTTGGAAGGCTTA